CGGCCGCATTTTGGACTAGGGGAAGTTGGGAGGCATGAGAAGAAGAGGGCAACACAGCCCTCTACAGATTTCAAGCTGCCGTCATGGCGAGAGATAAATTGTGACAGTTTATTGATTTGTGACATATTCACTGATTCTTTTGCCTATTAAATAAGACACTCTTAATTCAGACTGTCATTAGGCATTCTGAAAAGTTCAGACTGTTTTGATTCCCCCCCCCCCCAGTTTCTGATTGCAGTCTTATGCTGTGTGATGAGAGCAATTATAATTTATTTATCTGGCTGCTTTATTAAAATGAACTTTGCGATAATCAGTGACATATTCACAAAGCGGGGAAGGGGCAGAATTTAGCAAAATAAAACCTGCATTCCGGAAGCTTTATGTTGCTAAATATGCAACAAGGTTTGCTTAGAAACACAGAGGTGGCACACAACTGACAGTAGGCTTTTTAGTGACCATTCAAAGTTACAACGGCACTGGGGAAAAAAAAGACTTATGGCTTTTTTTCATACTTATGACCGTTGCAACATCCCTGTGGTCACATGATCATAATTTAGGCACTTGGCATCACATTTATGATGGTTGCAGTGTCCCTGGGTCACGTGATCCCTTTGTGTGACCTTCTGACAAGCCAACTCAATGGGCAAACAGCTGTGAACTGGGTGGGTTTCCAACTGCCCAAAATTATGTGGTTGTGGGACTGTGGGGGAGGATGGCTGTCGGAACAGTTCAAAACTGGGCTGTACAGGAGTGGCCAAAATTGTGGAAACCTTTTGGAAAAGTGTATAGTAGAAATGCCACCTTTGGTTAAGTTTCCACCAATTTTTCTTCTAATTTCTTTATAACTGTAGCCTGGTTCACTTCATAATACTATTTTACATCGCTTTCTGGGCAACAAGTCAACTCTTTGCACCATGATTTTAATTTTATTTCGTTTTATAGGCTCACTAAATGAAAGAACACAAAAAAACCCAACCAACTTGAGAGCGGATCACATAACACACTGACAAATGTCCTCCTCTCAGCTTCAATACATGACATCAATAACTGAATCCTACCGTGATCTGATTGGCTCATTGCCAAAACAAGATGACCCCAGACTGGCTCTCTAAACACTCACGCTCATTGGCTACAGTCGGATGAAGGAAAGCTACCTGAGATCAACCTAAGCAAGTTGTGCTTCCTTTTTCTGATTATTTGGCTATCACGTTTCATAGAATACAGATAATTGAACAAACTATGTTGCATTACCTTCTTGATTAAATTATCTTTTCATTGATATATAATTTTATGGTACCACTCCCCCCAAAAAGTGGTGTTATTAGCTATCAAACCTCAAAAATACACTTTTGGGAAAAGTGTATTTTTGAGGTTTGATGGCTAATAACACCACTTTTTGGGAGGTTTCCACAATTTTGGCTACTACTGTAAGTAGATCTGAGAAGGTCCGAGGTAACTTCGAAATGTTGTGAACTGACTGGCTGTAAGTCAAGCACTATCTGTCCATGATCAGGATTCTCTTCACCCCTCCCTTTTTTCCCTGCAGATGTTTCATTTTTATTTGAAAGCGAGAAAGTGTTGTGTGTGAAAATTACTTGGCCAATGCACCGCAAGTAATCTCAGATTGCATTTCTGATTCCATTCACAAGATAGAAACAACTCCCCCCCCAAAAAAAAGATGGATGACCTTTCTTTAGAACAGGGGTGTCCAACTGGACAACTTTACAACTTGTAGGACTTCCACTCCCAGAATTCCCCAGCCAGAATTCTGGGAGCTGAAGTCCACAAGTCTTAAAGTTGCCAAAGTTGGACGCCCTTGTTTTAGAACGATGCAAAACATACTGGACCATTTCGGAAGAAGTTTTTTTTTTGGGGAAAAAAAATCACTTTTCCCATCCTTTCTTTCTGAGAAAGCTCTGAAACTATGGCGGTAGATAATATGTATGCTCAGATTCTGCATTTGAGTCTTAAGGTGCAGCGTTCTCTGTGCTTGGAATGTCTGATTGACAGATGCTTCATTACCTGACTAGGTAGCACCTTCACTGCTATTCTTTTGGAGGCATAAGATTTGATCAGTTGTAGGGAATGTATAATTGCCATCTTATCAAACTTGTATATAATTGGATAGTCCACACCGTTGAGCATTGTTCTTATGTGATTGACATCTCATTATCTGATTGTCGTTATGCTGATGCAATGCCTTCTCTTGCTTGTCTGGGTATTAATTAATAGTTTGTAGGTAAAAGGAGGCGTTACTGTGATCTGTTCTCTTTTCTCTTTGATCATAGAAGAAATTACATATGCAGGTAATGAGATGCCTGTAGATGACAGCGAATCCTTACAACTTATCTACAGCTGACATGGACCCTTCACTGGTGCAGCATTTGAGCCGACACAAAATCTAGAAGGTGTTAGATTAGGAAATTAACTAAAGGTCTCTTTTTTTAAAACCGCAAGTTATGCGTTTCACCAAAATCTAGGACATTTAATGAGTTGAGTTTTAGCCGTTTTCACGTACAGTCAGCAGGGCGAGAGAGGTGTTGATAAAGTCATTCTGTTTGCAACTGGAGTGTGAACCAATCCATGTTTATATTATTCAGCTAATACCCAAACAGAAAACAATTCCCTGAATTTTGTGACACGGTTTGCCAAGTACATTGAGTAAAACTCACAAACAAAAAAACAGGGTACAACTGGAGAACTGGGTGTCAAACTAAATACACATTTTAGGCCAAGCTTTTCTTTTAAAAAGAATTCTCAAGAATTATTCTCAATAATTGTCAAATAATATCCAGTGCTACGTGCAGTTTTTGTTGTCCAGCTTTGACTCCAAGCAGAATTAGTGTCATGGCTGTCTCGCTACACACCTCTGCTTGCAACCAGACAACAGAAACTGGGAGAGGGGAGAGAAAGTATTGGAATGCAAGGGAAGATTGGGAGAGAACTGAGGAATGCAAGTGAGCCAATGTAGCCTGGGACAGTCTCAACACTCCAAGGTCAAATGCTGGGAAAACTCTGAAGTTGTCAGAATCCAATTATATTTCATCTCTAGTTATCAACTATGGAAACCCCCATTTCTGCCTTCTCTGGATTCTGTCATACGATGAAGGGAAGGGGGTGAACAAAGGGGCTTTATGGCCCTCACTTCCTTCAGTATACTTCAAAGGGACTGGATGTGGATATCACCAAAAGGACTAACAATAACAATGGGGCCATTACCTTTCATGTAATCCTTTCTGAAGTCTTTACTCCCGGCAGTGAGGAAAAGGGGGTGGGAATGTAATGCCTGGGACTGTCGCTGGAAGAAGGGGGTGATGGGGTGGGGCTAATGGGGGATCCCTTAAAACCTTGAATGGGAGAGCTTGGACCCCAAGTCCTGTCTAGAATGCCTGCAACCAGCTTTCTCTTAATAAAGATGCCTGTTGGAAGAAATATTCCAAGAGTTCTGTCTTCTTAAGATGCAAAGTAGGATGGTTCCTTATAGAAGTGCTCAGATGGTTCCCAAAACAACATGAATGCAATTGATCGATGGACAATGAACTGTGGGGAGGTCCAAGGGAAAAATGAGATTTTACCTATGCTGGTTTTTAGAACTGGCTTTGCTACTTCTGTGCCTATGTGGAATTATCAATAAAGTTATACTCTTGGTAAAATAACATCCCAAGAGTTTCTTTTGCTGCGTTTACCAATGGGACGGTTGTCTATTCGCTGCATTGTAAAGCTATCGCACATTTCCTTTGCATCCAACTATATGTTTTCAAAAGCACCTTGGACTTGACCTATTTACAAGCTTTTTTTAACATCTGCTAAAGGGGAAGGTGCAGATGTTTTCCCCAAAGACATGGAGATACACTTCCACATCCTTATTACTTTTTTTTTTAACCTCTGTGTTACATCTGGATCCCGTTCTTCCTGCAAAAGCTCAGGGCACGTTCTCTGACCTCAGCTGACCTTCAAAAGCTAAGTAATAACTTGCTAATAGTTGGATCTGGGATGGCCAGAAAAATCACAGAGTTGTAGATTAGACTGGAAAATTTGGAAAATGATCAAACGTTTTCTTCCTTGTAGAGATCTGGTCCTTCCCCTTTCTAGCATCCACATGGAACTTTCCAAAAGGCAACTGGACTTTCTTGGTTTTTTTTTCCTTGAAAATGTTTCGCTTCTCATCTAAGAAGCATCTTCGGTTCTCCCGTTCAGATCTGAAGAAGCTTCTTAGATGAGAAGTGAAAGGTTTTCAGGGAAAAAACCCCAAAAGTCCAGTTGTCTTTTGGAAAAGCACCTTTGGGACAACCATGACCTGGATGATTGAGAATCTCCATAGACCCTCATATGGAACCCCTGAGGATTATAATCTATATGCTGACAATATCCAACTGTCCAGGGCTGCCTCTGGAGATAGAGAAAAGACCATCAGTGTCTTAATCCACTGGATTAAGTGAGTGTCTGGATAAGCAAAAGAGGTTGAAACTGAACCGAATTCTTCTCGATTCACCTGTGGAGATGGTTACCAGCATGAAATTCCCGGGTGTGCAGCTAACGAGTAGACTGGCTTGGTCGCTCAACAGTGAGAAACTGGTGAAGCGGGCACAGCAGCGCCTGCATTTTCTGCGCCGCATGAGAAAAGCACATCTTCCTTCCCCTGTCCTGACCACTTTCTACAGGGCGACAATTGAGAGCATCCTGTCATATAGCATCACAGTCTGGTTTGGAAGCATCACTGCTTCAGACAGGAAGGCGGTGCAGAGAGTGGTGAGAATGGCCGAAAAGATCATTGGCAGCTCCCTCCATCCCATCCAGGACATAGCACAGAAGCGCTGCTTGAGCAGGGTCCATAAGATTAGCTGGGACACCACACATCCTCTTCACAACCTGTTTTCCTTGTTACCTTCTGGGAGGAGGGGGCTTCGTGGTATCCGTAGCAGAACATCCAGATTCAGCCAGAGTTTCATTCCATACAGCAGTAACCTTGCGAACTCTCAAGCTTCCTCCTTCTGTTACATATTCAAGATGGACAGTATTTAATATTTATTTGCTACGTATATGTAGGGATGTGGGTCTGTATGTGTGTTGTTCATAGTACGTTTAGGTGTGTGTCATGTACAGTATGTGTTTCACTTTGAGAGCGGGCAACTAAATTTCATTTTTGATGTGTGCCATTGTGCCCACAGTATAAAAAATGACAATAAAGGTTATCTTATCTTATCTGTTTGTTTACCACACAACTCCAATGTTTCTCTTGTGATCTCTTGATAGCTTAGCACTGTCTCTGTAACAGCACATCTGTCTCTTGGGGACACTCCCGGTCTCATGGCAACAGATAAAAACAGAGTGAAAGGCTGTGGCCAGGAAGGCTTTTGCTCAGCTTTGTTGATGTATCAGTTGCTGTCCTACTCAGACCCACAAGGACCTTGTAATTATAACTCATGCTCTGATCATCGTCCATTTGTACTAATGCAATGCTCTCTCCATGGAGCTGCCTTTGAAGAGCGCCCTGAAGCTTCGGTTGATTCAGAATGAGTGCTGGCTGTGCACATCTGGCTCCACCGACGTTGTAACTGTACTTATAGTTGTGAAGACCGGGACCGGACCAAGGAATAAGCGTAGACTCATGTTAAGTTTCATAACGAAAATTGGAAAGTTCTGGATTTTCTGGACCGTCATGAATGTCCTGACAGAAAAAGTGGTCCAGAGTTGGTCAGGTAATGTATGTGCTGTCCTCTCCAAGGGTGACCAGGGGGGGGACATTTGTGCAAAGTGTGTGGGGTGAGGCTCCCAGGGCAGGGTGGTGCAGTGGTTAGAATGAAGTACTGTAGGCTAATTCTGCTGACTGCCGACTGCCAGCAGTTCGGCAGTTTGATCCCGACTGGCTCAAGGTTGACTCGGCCTTCCATCCTTCTGAGGTCGGTAAAATGAGGACCCAGATTGTTGGGGCGAATATGCTGACTCTGTAAACCGCTTAGAAAGGGCTGTGAAGCACTGTGAAGCGGTATATAAGTCTAAGTGCTATTGGTAAGTGGGAATGGAAGGGAGGGAGGGAGGGAGGGAGGGAGGGAGGAAGGAAGGAAGGAAGGAAGGAAGGAAGGAAGGAAGGAAGGAAGGAAGGAAGAGCTGTAGTGGTGCAGTGGTTAGAACTCTGCCCGCCTGCCAGGAGTTCAATCCTCACCTGCTCAAGGTTGACTCGGCCTTCCATCCTTCTGAGGTCGGTAAAATGAGGACCCAAATTGTTGGGGCCAATATGCTGACTCTATAAACCGCTTAGAAAGGGTTGTGAAGCACTGTGAAGCGGTATATAAGTCTAAGTGCTATTGCTATTTTTGCTTGGTGCCCCTGGGCACTTTGCAATAGCCTCCACCCAGATGCTCTGCACTCAGGGTATTCGCTAAACCATAAAAATGAAGTTTTGTCAGACACACTTTGAATTATGAACGCTGCTGGTTATAGCGCTGTGCCTACTCAGATTTGTTATTTGATTATCTTGTTTGATTTGTTTTTATTGTGGACATTTTATTCTTTGTACTGATGGAAATGGTAAACCTCAGAGAGTCTCTCTGCAGCCGGGATAAATCCAATAAATAAACAGGAGGATAGCTAAGCTCAAACAGACACATTGTCACAAACAAATTCTCATTTCCTTAGTGTGTTATGATACAGGCTCTTCATGCTCCAACTCTTCCACTCCACCCCCTGCCCTTGTAGAAATCCAGAGGAACTGGGAAAATTCCCAGGAAAGCACACCATATTTTCTGAGTAATATCTCTAACATTTAAAATATTTCCTTTTGTAATTTTGTAAGAACCTCTAACCTCACCCACTGGTGCTTAGCACAAAAGACATACTTCCCAAAAGTAAGACAAGAAGGAATCTAGGCATGTGAATTTGTTTTGAAGAGCAGAATGTGGATACTACAATCCATTTTTGGCCTTCCTGAAACTTCCTTCATTTCAGGACTATATTTAAGAGTTTGGGAAGAATCCTAGAAAACCACTTCTAAGTTTTGCAATCCTCACCAATGCATTGCAAAACATCCATGGACCCAAACAGACAACCTTACTACCTCTCAGTATTTGGAGATGAAGAGAAGATATGTTAACCTTTGGTTTTAAGGTCTTGGATAAAGAAAGAGCTTTACCAGGCCTTTGTTAGCTCTCTTCTCCCCAGAAATGACTGGAAGAGAATGATACCTTGATGTTTAGAAGGTCCTAGCATCTTCAAGAAACTCAAAGAAAGATGCCTGTCTGAAACTTTAAGAGTGTCCACCTACTGTGCCGCAGACATACTGGGAAATGTCCAAGAATTCCCAGGTAACCATATCAATCGTTACGCTGGCTGGAAGAGTTGCAGACCCAGTCTATCTAAACACTTCCAGATGGAACAAAGATGACATACAAACAAAGATTCAGAAAGGCCCGATCCAGCAAGCATACCATGCGTAGGTGTCTTTTCTCTTCTCCGCACCCCTGTCACTCTACCTCTTTCGTATTCAGAACTCATGGGATGGTCCTCGCCTTCAACTAACGTGTAATACTTTCCGCTTTCTTGTTCCAAGAAGTAGCTTGGAGATTCCGAACCTTTCATTCCAGACTTCCCAATCCCGTATTTGCTGATTTCATCACATGACACAAGGCCGATGTCATCCCTAGGAAGAAAAGAGAGAAACAGCAAGATGGGTACCAAAGAAGCAGGAGATAATTTTCCAACCTTGATAGAAATAAAGATGATGCACTTTTCACAGGTCCAGGAAAGGTAATTTAGGGTCCCCACAGTTGTTTGAACTACAATTCCTGACTGGCTGTCCCAAAGGTGCTTTTTCCAAGAAACAGTTCTGAAGAAGCTTCCTGGATGAGAAGTGCAATATTTTCGAAGAAGGAAACCAAGAAAGTCCAGTTGCCTTTTGGAAAAAGCACCTTTGGGACAACCATGACCTGGAGGATGAAAATCTCCATAGACATGGAGGCGCCAAGCCTTTTTTTCCCTAAGGGATCAGATTGGGGCAGATCTGACAAAATGTATGTCTCTGTTACCTGGTTTTGATGTTCCCAGAGAGATCCAGATGGCCCCTGTTGAGAAACAGCATGTTTGACTAAGCTGGATCTTGGCCTAATCTGGCCTGCTGTGTGCTCAGTAGGACTGAAACAATAGCTAGTGTGTAGAAGTTCTACATTAAGGGTGACTTGTGTCTCGTCGACTTCAGCAACTCTAAGGGCAGCCCATTCATTCTGTTGTCAAGGACGGAGTTATCATTCTAAACAGCCAAGGTCATCAGTCACAGGTAAGATATACCTGGGGCCGTAGAGTCCTGAGACAGGGGAGAAGATAAAAACATCTTGCAGAGTTGAGTTGTCCATTTTGGAGTTCATGCCCATTGTGCTGGTTGGTGTGGTAAAGCTGCTGGTTGGGCTGGTTGGGATCACAGGCTGGAAAGGGGGTGGGGTGGGGGGTGGGGGTAGGAGGAGAAAGAGAGAAAAAGAGAAAATGCTAAATAAACTCTCCCACGTTGTTTCACTGTAACAAAATTGATGCATCGTCCCGAAGGGCAGGGTTGACGTGTTGAAAACTCTCACCTTCTGGATTGATAACAGCAAAAATCTCTCTCCAACAGATATTTCATTTGACTATCTATTAACTGGAAGCCCTTAGTTATTTAGAAGAGACTGGTGTAATAGAAGCAAATTATTATTTTTTCCTCCAGAGAATAATTGTTTATGCAACATGCACACCCATACACATCTACGCGCAGAGACTTAATCCTGGAAAGCAGCAGTTGGCTTGTGGCTCTAACACACAGTGACTCGAGATGAACCATTAGTAGAAATCATCTCCAGTTTATAGACGTTCATACAATAATCGGATATTGGAACTCGGTGCCTAAAGGCGATTGGTCCCATTAAAGCTTAGACAGGGATGCATAAACACCATGCATTAATTTTGAAAGGGACTTTTTAAAGAAATCAAACATCTTCCTTTAAGATATTTAGAAGCAAGGACACTTTGGGAATAGTATGCAGATTGGATGTACTGCAATCGCCATTCATAAGAATTATTATTAAAGTGTCTCAGAAATTACTTAGTCTGTTGAGCAGGAAAAACACAGTCTCTTGTGCCCTGTGGCTTCCAGGGTCAATTGTAATATGGATGATGGAACATTTCCACAGGGCGTCTACATCTGTAGTAAGGAATTTGCCTGAACAAACAGAAGCCAGAATACAAGATTTTGTATTCTTCCAGAATCAAGATCATGTGAAGTGGGTCTCCTCAGGGTGCCATCAGCCAGAGAGTGCCGGCTGGCGACCCCCAGGGGGAGGGCCTTCTCGGTGGGAGCTCCCACCCTCTGGAACGAACTACCCCCAGAGATCCGGGTGATCCCGGATCTCCCTTCCTTCCGCCGCGCCCTTAAGACATGGCTATTTCAACTAGCAGGACTGGCCTAAGGGCTTTAAAAATCGCCCCAAAATTTTTGTTAAAATTTAATTGTAAGGCCAAATCTAATATTTCATTTTAATTATGTTTTTTAACGATAGTATTGGGGTATTTTTTGTATTTGTTTTTATCAGGCTGTCAGCCGCCCTGAGTCCGCAAGGAGAAGGGCGGGGTAAAAATTCAATTAAATAAATAAATAAATAAAATAAATAATACCACTTTATAATGCCTTGGTAAGACCACACTTGGAATACTGCATCCAGCTTTGGTCACAATGCAAAACAGATGTTGAGACTCTGGAAAGAGCGCTGAGAAGAGCAACAAAGATGAGTAGGGGACTGGAGGCTAAAACATATAAAGAACAGTTGCTGGAATTGGGTATGCTGAGTTTAATGAAAAGAAGGACTAGGGGTGACATGATACCAATGCTCCAATATTTGAGAGACTGTGACAAAGAAGAGAGGGTCAACCTATTCTCCAAGGCAACAGAAGGCCAGACAAGAAACAATGGATGGAAACTAATCAAGGAGAGAAGCAAGAACAAGAACTAAGAACAAATTTCCTGACAGTTAAAACAATTAATCAGTAGAACAACTTGCCTACAGAAGTTGTGAATGCTCCAACATTGGAAGTTTTAAGGAAGAGATTGGACAACAATTTTTCTGAAACGGTATACTGTTTCCTTCCTGAGCAGGGAGTTGGACTAGATGACCTCCAAGGTCCCTTCCAACTCTGTTCTGTTATTTTCCTGGACATTTTGTGACTGTTCAGTCTTTGCCTTTCTAGTTCTCTCCCATGAAACAAGAGTTAAAGAGGGCCAAAGTAAGTGCCTTTAATTATTTTAGGGATGTGTGGATAAGTTTTAATACTGAGTATTTTTTAAAAAAAATTAATGAATATGCCTTTATGTACTGTATATGTAGCCAACAGGGCTTAATTTGGAAATGTATTCCTGCCACACCATATATTCAATTATACGTTTTGAATACGGAATATGTTGCTTTTCTGCTTACCCAAAATCAAAGTTAGGCGCTAATTGTCCATGAAATAGCCAATTCCCCTTTCCATAAATATTCATAACACAGTGGAATAATTTTTTAGGAGTATTTCTGTGTGAAGTCTGCTCAGCAATAAGCAATAAAGTGATAAGAGTGAAAAAAAACAACCCCAGAACTTATTTTGGAACCAAAACACTACCAAACGTCTATGAAAAGACATTTAGTCAAGAATCTATTTTGGTCCTGCAGCATGAAATCAGCTCACTCACCTTTGGCTGGTTCCACCAGAGGTGAGGGCTGCAACCTTAAGATAAAGGTTATTTTTTTTTTCTAATTAAAATCTGATGACATCAGCACAGAAAAACAACTTTGCTGTCAGAGGGTAATGACTCTTTGCTGTTATGGGAGCATTAAGACCAGCCAAAGAATCAGTGGGAAATCCTGAGAGAGACCCAAGAAGGATAAAATTTCATCAAGGCTTTATTTTACAGAGTCTCCAGCTCACCCATGTAGGGCTGTGGCTCACAATTAAAACATCACTAGTTTTAAATGAAAATGGCCATTGAGAAGATAGAGTGGAGATATTGAAAAGGTCAACACTAGAAGTAAAAGATGGAAATGACAAGGAAAGAGATTTATTTAAACAAGCTCCAGAAGGGCAAAATCTGTCAAGAGATGCTGGAATGGTGTCTTGTATCATAGATGCATTTGTCCTTGTGAAACCTCCCATGAAATGAAGGAGCAAAGCTGACTCCAAGACAGTGCTTAGTTGATCTCATCTGATCACCACAAGGTTTTTGAGTAGATGTCCCCAACTGTACTTTGAAACTGAGATGTGCTAAAGACATTTCAGCAAGGCATTGATTCTCCAAAGGGTGGGAAAGTCCTCTTTCATCTGAAACTCTTCATAGGTCCTCTCCTCTTGGGTTGCTAGCATGTGGGATGCAAATGGGGAACATCATCAGATCCCCCTTCCCAAATACACACAAAGAAGTCCAAGAGATTTACATCCTTCTATTTTCAAGTGTATAAAGCAGCATTTATTCACTGGCGACTGCTCAGGCAGTCCTTAAATCAATCCCACATGCCCAGTCAGGTGCGTTCTCGAAACGCAAGAATGGATGATGAGTGACAAGCCAGTTCATGCAAGGAGAAAATATTTCTCACTCTGAGAAATCTAAATATATTCTCCCCCACTCATCCAACGATCACTGTTCTGTTGTCATCACAATCCGTCAGTCAGCAGAGAGAACAGCCTGCCATAGACTCGCTACAAAAATCACAGGTAGTGCAATGAATCTGTTGGCAACGGGAAAGTTGAACCATCTTCCCAGGATACTTAAGCACAGAACAGGAGATCCCTTCTCAGTTTTGTTTTGAGAAGATGTACCTAAATGGCAACCTCAAACCCTCTCAAGACTGGACCAATCATTTGATTAACCAGACTGTTGGGAAACTGCCAGCTAGGCTGGAAGGAGGGGTCAAGGAGGGGTCAAGCTTGGAACTGTTGGACAGCCACAAAGGCATAAATGTGGTCTCTCCCAGAATTCATGAAGCCTTACCTGGCTGTTCCTAGAGGTAGGTAAGCAGTCTGGGGAGATTCTTGTAACTTAGGTAGAAGACAATAAAGTCACTTACTTTAGCTATTTATGGGAGAGGCAGGCTGGTTGCTTGTGGCTGATACACTGACTGATTCATGAACTTCACATTCAGGCTTAGAATGGGTAGAGAATGACATCTCCTGCCCTCTTTCTGACTCACCAGTCAGAGCAGCTGCTTCATGGCCTTTTACAATTTTTTCCCAGGAGCGGTCCAACCATTAGTCAGAAGGAACCAGCAACCTGGGTAAAACCCCTCTCTGTACTCCTAACTTGTTATTTGGAGCTACAAGTTCACTGCATCTAAGACACCCAGTTCTTTATGCTTGCTAAAAGAAGAATGGACATTATTTTCAGGGGAAAGGATTTCACTTGACTTCTGAATGATTGTGCAAGAGTTTGTGTTTTCTGCAAGGAGGGGAAGCCAGGCCAAAGTAGCCTATGCCGTGCCAAATTTGATTTGATTTAATTTAACATTTAAAATTGACTAATGTTTAATTTAATGAACAGAGTTTCTATGATGGCTCCCACCATTGTGTTAAATGCAACTGAATAATGTAATAATGACTTTCCTCATTTAATTAGCTGAAAATGCAATCACTATGATTTTCAGAATCTAACCATTCTATTTTTAGAGATGTCTAATTATAGAACCTTCTTAGACATAAAGAATGACTGTTAAGTGGCCAGTTTGAAGCCTCTAAGGGCTATACCTAAAGATTTTGAGGTGGGGGTGGTATAAACAGAATAACAGTGTTAGAAGGGACCTTGGAGGTCTTCTAGTGCAATCTTCTGCTGAAGCAAGAGACCCTACACCATACATGGTTATTCAATCTCTTCTTAAAAATCTCCAGAGATGGAGTATCAACAACATAACAGAATAACAGAGTTAGAAGGGACTTTGGGGGTCTTCTAGTCCAACCCCCCATTCAAGCAGGACACCCAATACCATTCCAGACAAACAGTTGTCCAGTCTCTTCTTAAAAGCCCCCAGTGATGGGGCACCCACAACTTCTGAAGGCAAGCTACTCCATCGATTGATTGCCCTGACTGTTAGGAAATTTCTCCTTAGTTCTAGGTTGGTTCTCTCCTTGACTAGTTTCCATCCGTTGTTTCTTGCCTTGCCTTCTGGTGCTTTGAAGAATAGGTTGACTCCCTCATTTTTGTGGCAGCTCCTGAGATATTGGAACATTGCTATCATGTCACCCCTAGTCCTTTTTTTCACTAGACTACAACTTTTGGAGGCAATGTTGAACCTTGCACGGTGCATACCTGAAAGCTAGTATTATTTACAGCATTGTGCAAAGGGTGGCAAATATTAAGTGATCTTTCTCTAAAGTCATGGTTGACTAACAAAAGAAAAACATAAAAACCAGCTTGGATCAGAGTTCTGTATTTGATGTTCCTAGTAAGTTGGGAAAAGCTGCTCTCAAGTCACAATTCTCTCTTTATCAAACTGCTGGGAGTTTGCTTTTTCAAATCCTTTTGAATGCCGTAGCAATCTAACAGGGACAACACTCAACCGCAATTCATGATAGCTTTGTTTTTTTTTTTTATACTGACAGATAAATAATATTTGTCTTTAAACTCATAATCGTTTGGCCTCCAAACCTGAAAAATAAGCAGGTTGGGATATCCAAGAGGGATTTAAAATTTCTTCTGAAAAGAATAGCTAGAAGGAAAGGGGAGAGAGAAGCAGCTGTGATATGATGGAAATGAAGAATAATATGATTTGATAGTATTGATTTTGCTCGTGAGAAAGAGAGAGAGATAGACTTGAATGAGGTGCAGTTGGCTAAGGGCAGCTGGTGGACAATGCAGGGCTTGTAATTGTATTCTTCCTCCGCTTGGAATCCCAGTAATAATAAAATAAAAAAAAGATATGAAAAGAAAGTCATTAGATTTATGCCTTCTCCTCTCGGAGGGATGATTAACAGAAAACGTATTGCACTCAGTTTCTAGGTCATTGCTGTTGTTGATAGAACCAGCCATTCAGGGTGGGGGGGAAAGGGTCTTCCACCTTCAAATCACATTGTAGCCATTTGGGGCTCAAGACCTATACCCATCTGCACCCAAGGGAACTTAACTTTTGAGTAAAATGTAGGAATGTGTTACTAATCCCTTGCAATCCGCAACACAGGAGTTCATAAAGGAGAAGAGGTTGTGCTCAGATCAGCAAGTTGTGGAAATGTGGAAGATACGTTATGACGCACCCAAAACTTTGAAGAACAAATGTGCCAAACGTATTTACTGGGTCTCCGTGGATATCTGGGAAACTCTCTGGCTGTTAGCCCAGTGAGGTGGTCCAGGCATGAAGCACAAAGTACTCGCTCTATCTTTGTCTAAGGAGATTCTCAATCATCCAGGTCATGGTTGTCCCAAAGGTGCTTTTCCAAAAGACAAGTGGACTTTCTTTGTGTTTCCTTGAAGACGTTTTGCTTCTTCAGTTCTATAGACCCATCACTGACCCCCAGAATGGAAGAAGCTTCTTGGATGAGAAGTAAAACATCTTCAAAAGCAAGAAAGTTCAGTTGCCTTTTGAAAAAGCACCTTTGAGTTGACTAAATGTGTTGCGTTGCATTGCATTGCATTGCGTTGAACTTAATTGCACTGCACTGCATTGTATTGTATTGTATTGTATTGTATTGTATTGCATTGTACTCTACTCTACTCTACTCCACTCTGCTCTGCTCTGCTCTAGCTGAAGAAGCTTCTTGGATGAAAAGTAAGACATCTTCAAAAGCAAGAAACTCCAGTTGCCTTTTGAAAAAGCTCCTTTGGGACAACCATGACCTGGATGACTTAGAATTTCCGTAGACAATAGATTTAGTCATTTGACCATATCAAAAATATAAAACTAATACAAATCACAAAACGTTCAAAGAAAATAATAGAACAAGCTCACAGCAAATCCTTCCCCCTACCGTTAACCCCAGTCTGATTTAAATCATCCTAATTCTCCCATTGTTGCTTCTCTACACGCCATTGTTAATGAGGATTGCTGACAGCGACACCACGCCCCCCAGACAAACAAGAGCCAGTGATGCATTTTTCAGAGTTCATTAAACAAAGACTCTGTCCAAGGTCATCTTACCTGGAGAGCAAGGGGTTTCCACCTGACGTTCTTGAGAAGTGCCGGAGCAGAAACAAGAGTATTCTGAGGTCGCTTCTTCAACGTTAAGATCACTCCATTTGGGTCTTCACGCAACGCATTGACCAGATTCTTTAATTGCCAGCCAACCTGAAAAGAAAATCCTATTGTGGAATTTTGAAAAGTCATTTTTTTCCTGCCTTTGGTTAGCTTTCTGTAACCAAGGCTGCTTTGATGTTAATATCTCAATCAATCAATCAATCAATCAATCAATCAATCAATCAATCAATTTATCATTACAGCCAAAGGCCAACACATAAATTAAACATTCAAATGAAACAAAACTAAACAGAACCAAACACAAGCAGACATAGCAATATATTACAATTCATGATGTCATCAATGGGAGACCAAGGTCTGCCTAGTTTTATAGACAGTATAACAAAACCTAGCTACCTTCAGAAAAACCGAATCATACTGACCTGACAATAAAAATAGATTTATAGTCTAATGCTGGATTAAAAACATGTAATAAAATTAATTATAAAAGATTATGAAAAAGATCTAAAATGTTTATTTATGTTTCTGGCGAATCCCCAGTGCTGCTGTGCAGAATCTAGCCACCTGCGCCATGATCACTGCCTGCTCGTCCTTAAGCAGCCACTGGAGATAAATACTTTCCTTATGTTAATATCGTGAATGAGGGATTCTCTAGGATTGACTTTACGTTATAAAGTGAGTGTGCAGAATTGACAGATGGGATTGCAAAAATCCAGATGACCACCAGGGAAGAAATACAGGATTAGATTTCTGTATGTCTTTGCTTTCACCTGGTGGTCATTAGTATGAGTGCAGATGTGTGCATCTGTGTTATGCAAAAAAGACATGATTGGAATCCCTCTATTTCAGGGGTAGACAACCTTGGCTCTTTTATGACTCGTGGACTTCAACTCCCAGAATTCCTGGGAGTCATAAAAGAACCAAGGTTGCCTACCCCTGCTCTATTTATTAAAGCAGCTCCTTCTTTTAACCAGAAAACAGCCTTGTGGCTGTTTTAACACTTGCGTTAATGTTGGCTAAGTGAGCCCTTAAAGTAGCCACAGCTTTATTTTAGATGAAATATGAAGCCTGGATTTCTTTTAAATACTTTTCACCATATACCCAACTGTAATATAGATCTCATATATCACTCTTGGCAAGAGTTGTGCAGTGCCTGTTAAGCATTTTGTTCCTTTCTCTTTAAGAAAAAAGGTAATATTTGTTTATTTTAATTTTTAAATAGGGCAATATTGTGATAAACAATCCATTGGCTCTAGCGTTACTTTTTAAAAATACAGACAGTGATGTACTGTTCTAATTTTTATATCCTCTAACAAACTGAATTATTGCTTTTAATTATCTTCTCTTCTGAAGGATCTCTCTTGTTTCACTGGAGGATTTTTAGCAGCAGCTTCAGAATAATTACAAAATGAATCCTTGCTGTTGTAATAGGATCTGTTAATTTGGGGGGTAGGGGAGAAATTGGAATGGGGAGTTTGGCGGAGGGAGCATGCATCTTGGAGAATAATATTGCTGCGGTTTCTTCAAGGTGTTTAATTAAAGATAAAACATCATTTATTTGAGCTATGGAAAAGTCCACGGAGGGAGAACGGAATTTATTAAGTTATTGCAAGTAATAACACTATTTGCAAATAAAGCTCCAGTAACACAGAGGGCCACATTTCTCTGTCTTGAAACTTAGAGGCATTATAAGCATTTTTTTGGTCTTAAAAAAAAGGGGGGAACAGTAAAAGAAATTCACCCCTTTACTTTCCAATGTGGAGGATCCTTTAAGTTTACAATCCCAGGAAAAGCTCTTTTGTTTGCATAAATAAACATTCCACCTTCCTATGAAATGCAATGTTTAAACAACATTTTGAAAGAGCCGTTAAGTAAACAGTTGGAACATATAAATGAAACAGAGTATTTTTTTCTATTAGCATGCATGGAACATTTCCAGAAGAAGCACTAACGCCGTGGTGGCGAACCTATGGCACGCATGCCACGGATGGCACGCAGAGCCCTCTCTGTGGGCACGTGTGCCATCGCCCCAGTCCTAGGCCTTCAGCTGGGTTTTATAAAACCTTTTCACTTTAGGCCTCCGCCACCGTGTGCAAAAAAAAAAAAAGGTTCAATCAATCAATCAATTTCAACTTCTCGCGGGGGAAAAAAAGATCTCACAAAGTTGGAATTGATTGATTGAACTTTTTAGTCCCACCCAGTCTGCCGTTACCACCGCAGCCACGCCCATCCAATGGGCCACACCCACCCAATGGGCCACACCCACCCAATGGGCCACACCCACCCGGCACTCGACGATGCATAAGTGGGTTTTGGGTTGCAGTTTGGGCACTCGGTCTCTAAAAGGTTCGCCATCACTGCACTAACGAGTCCAAGGGGCTGAGTTTGGAAAGACTTGGGGGGAAGGAAGCAACAGCTTCTTAGTATGGCTTCAAAGTTCACTCTGGAAACCTTGACAGACAAAGACAGACTTTCCACGATCATTGTCTTTACAGGTGGTCCTCGACTTACGACCACAATGGAGCCCAATATTTCTGCTGGGAAGCAAGACATTTGTTAAGTGAATTTGGCTCCATTTTACGATTTTTTTTACCATAGCTATTAAATGAATCACTGCAATTGTTAAGCAGTTGTTAAGTTCCTAACCCGGTTGTTCCCCACTGATTTTGCTTGTCAGAAGCTCACAAAAGGGGATCCCGTGACCCCAGACACTCTGAAACCGTCATAAATATGAGTCAGTTGCCAAGCATCTGAATTTTGATCACGTGACTGTGGGATGTTGCAACGGTTGTAAGTGTGAGAATTGGTCGTAAGTCTCTTTTATCCGTGCCGTTGTAATTTTGAAAGGTCATTAAAATGAACTGTTGTAAACTGAGGACTATCTGTAATTGCTTGAAAGGCTCAGCAGGAGAAGAAACACTCAGAGCCAGCCCTAATCAGTATTTAGACGGGCTGCCGTTATATATTCCTTCCTCGTTTTTCTGTTAGCCAAGCATTTTTCGTCTTTCATGGAACTTCTTGGGACTTTTCTTTTTCAGGAATTGCAATTTGCTATCCTGAAGATCTGTTTTTAGACCATCAACAATCCAGGCTAGGTTCCGTTGATTTTTCCATCTCTATTTGCATTCACACTTTGAGGCTCTCCCGAAGCCATTCTTCTGCAGTGCATGAAGAATTACACCGGACTAGGATCATTTTAGATTATTCAAGCATCTATCATGAACTCATTATTGGTATGTGAATGCTATGTTGCTTGATCATAATAATCTTGCCAATACTGAGAAAATAATCACCCCTGAGAACTTAAGGGAAGGAAAGTTGTATTTCTGGCTTCCTATTTAATTTTTGTGAGTTTTAAATAAATCCATAGTGACGAAGCTTTCTCTTGTGGCGCAGCAAAAACTGCTACAGAAGTTTTAAACAACACTAGTGGATTCACACCTTGTGTTAAATCAGAAGGTGGCTTGCTGGCTTTTGATTTAGCCCAACGTATGAACTAAAACCATGCCTTAACGTTAGAGGTAAAGAAGGCCATTGTCATTCATTCTGACAATTAACTTTTTTTAAAAAAAAATAAAGCTTGGCTTAGTATGATATATGATCTACAACCCCAACATTGTTTAATACTTGTTCCCCATGTCAGTATTGTACAGGTAGTCCACATTTTGGATAGAGAGGACCGCTGGTTTGAAAGAGGGGTCAAAGAGGCCATCTATGTCAAAACTGAACAGCCCTCTCTCAACAGAGGGGGAGGGATATGACCTCATCTATCTCCAGTCTACAACACGGTCCATTCAGCAGTTCCAAGAAGGCTCCACACTCAACTGCACTACTCAGGTGACCCCGAGGACACAGATAAACCTCCAGGTGGCCTCAATGACTCTCTAAAAGGATGCAAATGACCAGCTGTCTGCAAGGAGTATAAATCCTCCCATTCCCCACCACCCAGTCAGAGCTGAAGAAGCTTCTTGGATGAGAAGCAAAACGTCTTCAAAGAAAAACAAGAAAGTCCAGTTGCCTCATGAAAAATCATCTTTGGGATAAGAGACTGGACAGCCATTTGTCTGGAGTGGTATACGGCAGCGGTCTATATACCCAGTGGTGGGGAGAGGGGAACTGGTCTGTTCAAGTGGTTGCCCGGTGTGTGCACATACAGGTGTGCACACCAGTCTGCTGCTTGTGCACGTTGAGCACATGTGCTGGCCAGCCGTTTGTGCGGCCCGGTTCTGAACAGGCCACAGCCCGGTAGTGGGCTAGAACTGGAGGGTTGGGGACCCCTGGTATAGGGTCTCCTGCTTGAGCAGGGGATTGGACTAGCAGACCTCCAAGGTCCCTTATTCTATGTTCTATGCAGTGGTGGGATTCACCAAGTTCGCACCACTTCGGCAGAACTGGTAGCTAATTTTTGTGTTGCCCAGGCCCAGAACGGACTTCCGGAAGCGGCATCCACACAGAGAACCGGTTGTTCGCCTATTTGAATCCCACCACTGGTTCTATGGTCACTTTATGAAGTGCCAAAGAAGAGAAGAAGACACTGAACATAGCCCAGCCATGCTGTACGTGTAGTGAGATTTTTAAAGGTTAAAGAAAGCTGGAGGAAATCTTTGTCTTCTTTATCTTAAAAAAAGAAAAAAGGCAAGTATAATTCTTCCTTCCAGCCAGCCAGATTTTATTTGGGGGGAAAAAAATCCTTAGAAAAGAAGAACAGATGGGAAAAAAAACCCCAGCCCTGTTAAAGCAATGCAAGGGAGGACGAGATGCATAAGTCCATTCCCAGAGAAGCAAAGATGTAGTCTAAAACAGGAGAAAGAAAAGAAAAACACACACACACACAGATGCAAACAGCCTCTACCAGAGGCTGCCCTTTCAAAATGGTTATTGACGAGAAACGCAAGGGGTCTGCAAGTGCACAGTTCACATCCAGTCCTTTGGTGATGGATTTAACCTCATTTAGAATCGGATTGCAATACTAAATATATTTTGCCAGGGAGAAAATCACACTGAACGCAGTAGGATTCCGACTCAGTGAGCACACAGGCCTACACAATTATCAATACTGACTTTGCTCACATAAGTTCTGTTCTTTTCCT